ATTGATGCAGTACTAAAGCAGTAACCTGTTAATAACTTCTGCAGATTGCCTACTGCACTTGACGATCAAGTTCAGAAAATAAACGGATTGTGCCTCCCTCCCGAGTAAATCAGATGCACCTCTGTCCTGCCTCATGCCGGGAGGGGTGCCTGATTTATGAGCAACGTCCCACGAGCCTGATCTGGGTGCGGCTGCACTCGTGCGAGTAGTGAGGAACTAGTGTGCTTAAGGTGACGAGGTTCATAGGTTCGCATACCACTGGGGTGAGGAGGAGAATCTAGGCAACTGGTGCGTGGGCCGTGTCTGTAGGTGTGTGGACCAATTCTCCGCACAAATGATAGCAGGGAGCGGCAGGGGGGGTGGGGAGGGGAAGCGGCGAGCTGTGCGAGGCTTGAGGCGCTGAACTGTGCTGTGCGCGGGGCTTACATTGTTGCGCTACTAAAACCTTGTGGATCGAATGTGTCAGCAATGACGTCAGCTATGGGGAGGTGATGTCTAAGAATTCTGATTCTGGCCAGGAGGGGGGTGGGAGGGGGGGAGCGGTGGTGGGGGTCGGCGGAAAGCGTGGGGGGGTGGGGAGGGTGGCGGGTCTTGAGAGAAGATGGGGGGGCGCCGGACGGCGGGGAGGCGGGGCTGATCTGGAGTGGAGGGGCGGTGGCGTGGGGGCTGGGTTCTATGACTTCTCTTCATTTGGGTGAGGACCCCCTCCCGCTCGCTGATGTACATTAAACCTGCCCGCTGTCCGGGCTTCCTTGTTTTGCTCTATTTCTTCTCTCATTTTGGTCTATCTTCTCTAAGTGCTGCGCGAATCCTCACTCTAATATTGAAAATGAGAGTCATTCTACCGTCTGCAGCTGATGTCGGTTCCTTAATCGTGGAAGCAAACCGCCAACAAACCCGTGAATCTTTGCTTTTTCTGTCTTAACCATGTGAGAAGCATGCTTAGCCAACCTTTATGATTCCATGTAGTACTCTTGCACACTTTTATTCCTTGCTTGAGCTGTTCGAACTCTGTAGACTTAGCTTCCCTATCCTCTTCCGGGATAAAGTTAGCCATGAAGGCCTCTCTAAATTCTTCCTAAGTAGGCGGACCATCATCTTCATCTCTTTCCTTTTCCCACAT